CACAAGTTACAAATACAATTTAATTTGGTGTTGATGTGGAAATTATGTGTTTTAAAATGCTTAGACCTGATTAGTTGAGGATCTGACTGCAAGTTGTACTTCTCTGTTCCAGCTTTAGAAATGTCCATGGACTTTTAAAACCTGGATGTTCTGCACAAATAAATTATTACCATTGACAAAGAGAGGTAACTACATTCATTGTTATTTCTGAAACACAAAATCATTACCAAACTGCTCTGAGTATCATTCCTTCCCATTTTCAGGAGCCAATATTTCCTGTCCTGTGGTCAGTTGTAACCCACAATAACATGATGATTTTACTCTTCTGTGAGCTTAAGTTAACAAGAGAAAACATCACACCCAAAGAGCTTCTAAGGCCTTTTTTGTTAATTTTATTCCCAAGGCACAAGAATTATTATTCCTTATGTGTTGATAACCAATGAAAAATATTTCATTCATGACAGAAATAAACTCATTTGCCCTTTAGCATATAAAAACCAGCTGAAGTCACAGTTTTCTTGTTTTTTTTTTTTTCATTTTCTATACCCACTTAACCTTGCAGGGTGTGTATCTAACAGTGGTCATTGGGGCATCACAGAGGGAAACAGCCATGCATGCATAAAGGCATGTCAACTGAATAACTCTAAATTGAGTCACATTTTATTTATTATTTTTTTTACCATGGAAGGAAGCTTGTGTGTGTTGTCATAGTACCCGGCAAAAGAGACAAAATTACTCCGAACTGCAAATGAGTGAAACACAGCTCACTAAATATGATCAAGTACCAAAACAAATGGCTTTATGACCGCTGCTGCCGTCATACAGGAAGTAATCAAGTCTCCTGCTCGCTAGAAATCAGGGGAATATTATTTTCCATATGTTGGTTTTCATATCAGGTACCTGTTGGTATCCTGGTTGTTGAGCTGTCTTAGCAGTTTGATTTCATTCTAGCTTTCATTTCTGTCTTGTTCCTTATTTCAGTTTTTAGTGTTCTTATTATTAAGCTGTTTTCTTATAATTAGTTTTTGTCACTCTGTTTTTACTGTTTCCATAGTCAAGTTATTCTGATGTGACTTACTTTCTGTTTGCGTGTGTACTCTTCATCGCCTCCTGTGCCATCTTCTCTCAGTCTGTCTTCTTTTCTCTCCACTCACACCTGCAGTCAGTTAGCTCATCAGGTCTTTTGCTCCACATGCACCTCCCCAGTATTTAAGCCGTTCACGCTCAGTCACTCCTCACCAGTTTTCTGTACTTCTCCTCAACTTCCCTATGTTTCCTGTCTGGCCTTGTTTTGGATTACCCTTTATTTAATTCTGGCTTCCTGCATTTTTGTAAGTTCTGATTTTCATCTTTTTATTCAATTTTGCAACTCAGTCTGACGACTCCCGCCTGCTGCATCATAACCACAGACACCATGACAGAACTGACTCTTCCCCTGCTGGGTACAAACTGACATGGATGGTTAACAAGTGTTAGGGTATATGAAACTATAAATTGTACAACTATCTAAAATAACAAAAAGACATCATTTATGCCCACCCAAATCTTCATATAAACGGGGATTACTGATCTTTTTTTTCTTCATAAAGTAGGGTTTTGCCCATAGTTCCAATGGAAGAAACTTTTTATGCTGTATGGACAGCATAAAAAACATTTTGATAATATTTCTGCTCTTAACTAAACTATAAGTTTCAAGATAGTTCCCTTAGTTACAACATATCTGCACACTAAAACATGAAGCAAGGTTTATAATACAAGGGGTAGTTTGGTGCTGACTGCTTTGCACATATCCTTCAACTTGAGACATTTTAGAGAGTACACACCATCTGACTCAACATCAGTACATAATCTCACAGATGCTGTTCAAGAGTCATATTCAGCAGCATTTGATGGTGTTCTGCTCCTACCAACAGAGGAGTAAAACACCACCATAACTTTTCTCATTTTTTAGTCCTAATCTCAATAACTTGATCTATGAAATATTATGATATACCTTTTTAGTTTCTAAAATTTTGTCTGTCCTTTGTTTCTCACAAATCTCTTTACAGCATTACAAAAATAAGAGTCAACATCTATTCTGTGAGCTTAAAGAAATTATGGAAATGTATTAGTTGTACTTTACTTGTATATTATCCATGCCAAGTGCAATTTCAAGGCCAGTTGAAGGCAACTGGCCATCATCACTTGCGCTTTAAGAAGAACCTGGTCCCGTCTTATCGGCCTGTTTGATAAAGTTATCAGAGTCAAAACACTGTGTCTGTAAAGCCTGAGGGAGCTGTGTGCTTGTGTGGGGGATGACTGAGACTCACGTCATGTTTCCTCTGTGGGTTACACATTCATGAGACAGACAATCCACACTACAGTTCCTCGTCTAAAACTGCTTATCGTAGGTGGTCTGCTCCAGTGGGAGGTGGGTTTGGTTGACATATGGTACACTGCTTGGTGATAAAGTTCTTTAAATGCACACACAAGAAAGAAAAAAGAGAGGGAAAAGAAACATAAATCCAGTCCAAGGAAACTGCACGTACTGAGAGATAAAATGAATGATTGGTGTTTTGATAAAAGTGAGAAAAAGTAATCACAAAGCTACCCTGCTTCTTGCCTGTCAACTAAATGAATTTAATCTCAGCTAGGTTTCTTGAATTGTAACTGAATTCCGTTCCCTGTTTCCCACATCCTTTGATTCACATGGCTCTTTTTCATGCAGAGTCGTGAGCTTTAAGCCACATTTAATGCTTTTCTGCACAATTTCACTGAGCGCCAAGTGACAAAGCTAAATATTTTATTGAGGGGTTATTATTTTGTGCACCAGGCCAAAGCAAACTAAATGCTGGTCAAGAATGTAATCATTTATCTAAAGACCAAGGGCAACATGCTCGATTTGATCTAAAATTGGCCTCTGCTACCCACAAGAAGATAGAGAAATGGTGTGCATGAGTACATGTGTATACATTAAAAAAACAAGCTCTGTCAACTTCTGGACTATCACAACCAGAGGCAAGAAGAAAACATTTTGTTCGTTTTAATGCTCATGGAGCATGTGACAGAGCTTGTCTTTTTTTTTCATTCTAGACCAGGGGTGTCAAACTCCAGTCCTCAAGGGACGCTGTCCTGCAGTTTTTAGATGTGTCACAGGTACAAAACACTGGAATGAAATGGCTTAATTACCTCCTCCTTGTTCTCCAGAGCCTTGCTAATGACCTAATTATTCTATTCAGGTGTGGTGCAGCAGAGGCACATCTAAAAGTTGCAGGACACCGGCCCTTGAGGACTGGAGTTTGACACCCCTTTTCTAGACCAATGCTTCTGACACTGAAGTTTACTATAAGGTTGCTTAACTTTGATGCAGGGTTAATCCAGTAAAGCAAAAGAGCCATTTTACTTCAAAAGATTGAAAACATGAAAGAATCTCAAAGGAAATCCTTTCTTTATCACAATGTCCACCATGGCGTCCCATCTAAAATGCCCTCGGTAATTGCAAATTACTGGGAATTTTATCGGATTGTGGTAGTGTGAAGCTTTCCCATCATTCCCTCAGGGCTTTTATGTAGCTATCAGTTGTGTACCAGCCTACCAGAGCCTTTAACTTGGTTGTTTAATGATTGCCATTAACATATCAAGATCTGCCAAGGGGTCCTGGCAGCTTTTCCCACCCCTCCTACTGCTTTCTCTGCATTGCCAAAATCAAGATGGCTCCTCTAAATCTTCATGTAGACCCTTCAGGGCGTAGAGAACATGAAGGTCTCTGGTGTAATTGGATTTATTTACAAAATCGCTGTGAAAATTTGGACATTATCTGTCTGTACCCATGACTGGAATGCATCCTCTTGGTAGGCCATTTTTTCCACTATTGCAGTAAAATTCACTTCACTTGATGAAGTCAAATTAAAGTTATTTAATATTAAATAGCTAAATATCATATTATTTTCATTCAAATTGCATTTTTTAAAATTAGGTCCTGATCTTTTAGGTTTGGAGGTGAGTTCCTGGTCTTTTTCTGTCTGAAGGAAACTTGTCTGGATACAGCTTTGCGTTGGTGTACAAATCTCAAGAAAACTTTTTTTTGTTTGTTTTCATTTAGAAAATATTAAATTTCAAAATTCATATCAATGTGTCTTCATCGAAACAATGATTGGCAACAAGTAAGTCCCCTTATCACCATGACCTATCAGCATATGTCTTGTCTCTCTGAAAGAAATTTGAAGACCTCGCCAGCCTCATTGCATGGCCCTGTCTCCTACTCCACTTGCATCTGTTAGCATTTTGTTTCATATAGCTTAGAGCTTTCCATGTGCTCCTGCGTGTGTGTGTGTTTGCATTTTGTTTACCAGATGTGCATCAGATAAAGACTGTCGAATGGCACAACTGGCTATTACACCATCACCGCTTTAGCAACATGGGGTTAGCCACAGAAATGAAGATGTAGAGACAGACAGCACTGGAAAGTGAACAGGACATATTTAACTTTCAATGAAAACCCAAGAAAACTGATATTGAAACTCATCCCAAAACTAGAAAGTTTGTTCTTAAAGTGACATTGTGAGTGTCAGACAGGCATAAGAAACAAAACTGTCAGCAAAATTAAGTTGGAAAGAAAAATTATGATACATCCACCATTTAAATAATTTGACAATGTAGTTGAAAAAAGATGGAAAAAACGCATATATTATGATATCTATTGATGTTTCATTATTAATAATACAAAAAATGCATTTTTTGTATTAGATTTGTATGTAGATTTCTGAGGTTTAGAAGGACTTTTTTTGTGAAATACTGTGAGAATATAAGCATACTCAGTTTTCCATAATGTAGAAAATTACAGTGGGAATTCATCTTTTCACTGGGGTGGTTGTCATTCTTCTTGTGGTGCCATATGTTTTGTTGCTTGGTTTGTTCTAAAAGTACTTTCTCATGACTCATTTAATCTCAGCAAATATTGCTATTTTTCATATTAACATATATTTTCCTTTGTTCCTCTATTATTGTCCTTCTCTCCCCAGATTGAGAACCTATTGGAGCAGTTAAAAGATAAGGACAAACAGCTGGTTGGATTGAGAGAAAGGGTTCAGGGGCTTCAGACTGACTCCAGTAACACAGACACAGCTCTGGCTACTCTGGAAGAAGCTTTATCAGAAAAGGTATGAGGATGTGATATGTGAATGGCTGGGGCAGTACTTTGTTAATGCATTTCTCTTTTATAATTGTAAAGCCACACTTGGATTTTAGGAAGTTTGGGATAGCTTGTTGAGGTGACATTTTGTGGAATAATAAGTACAGTGCAGTAAAACTACTTTTATAAGTACCTTTTTCCAAAAACGTTGCTCAAGTGAATGTAACAAGTAGTACCCACTTTTGAACATAGACAACAATAGTAGCCTGTACTTAACAAGCTTAATGTGATATATTGGTATTAGCTAGTCATCTTTTAGCTAACATTACCTGCATCCAACAGCAATACTCAACTCAATCTATTAGTCTGGGGGGGGCAAACTAATAGATTGTCAATAGTGCACCCCTGATCTGGACCACGGGGGGCACGGCTGACTCTGTGGGCTGGCAGAGACTCAAGCTGCCGGGCCTGGTACCAGTGTTACAGTGCAAAGATGAGAAAGTTGTGGTAATACATTTTAACACAAGGTTTCCCGTACATGATGTTTTGTTCTGGTCAGCCAAACTTGCAGTTATGCTCATAAAATAGCATAACAAGCACACAGTTACATGTGTCTGTTTGCATAATAGATTGTATTGAATTAAAATTCTTTGTGCAGAATAAATGCCACAGGATTTAAGATGAAGCAAACAAACTACACCACGTGACGGATGAAAGAATGAATAGGGGAGCTGACTGTCTCTTGTAAACATTCCTGTTTTTGTTTGCTGGCAATTTGGGTGAGCAGCTGGTCTTCATAAAACCTTACCTCAACAGGAGGGAGTCAGTTTTTATCAAGTGAAACCCATTTGATTTTACACTATCCCAAAGCAGACACACTGTAAAGCAACTTGAGCAAATAATTGTCCTTATTAATATTTTCTTTCTTGTCATCACAACTTGATGAATTCATTTTTATATTTGTCATAATGATTACAGAGTGCCTCTTATTAATATTCGAGTTGGAGTTGAACATGGGATGGATTTGATGTTACTCTGTTCTAACTATGATCTAGCAGATGTCACAACCCAGTCTTGAAATAATTAAACTTTGCCTTGAACTGACTGGCTTGATGTCAGAATGATTCCATTCTTCTTAGCTGTGTTGCACATTTTTCATACTAGCGTCTACAAAGGACTGGTTTTGTACTTCAAGCTATAAATGGTTTCCATTTCCACATTTGGACCCCAAGCTAAAAGATGGTTCCTTGTGTAATTTTTTTTTTCCTCAGGAAGACCTGCAAAGAGACAGATGTGAAAGCCCAACCAATAAGCTTGCTTACTAATTGATACCTTTCTTGTGTATTTTTTAGCAGTTTTGTCAGCAATTTATTCTGTTATGTACTTTTTTTCCTATTGCAGCTGTTCTGCAATAGCCCCTATTCATTAGTAGTAACGCTCAGCCCCTTCCGTTTCAAACTCTTCTTATAAACTTAAGCGTTAAATTGAGATATTTGCTACCTTTTACAAAAAAGCTAAGTCTATCAAAGCAATGTTTTGATTTCAGGCATAACAAGGCAGTTTATCATGACACAGCCAAAGACCTGAAATGAACAAATTGCCGTCTGATTTTTATTGTTGATGTGTTTCTTCCTATTGAGTAGCGAAAGTAAATAAAATGTGTTACATGTCTTTTTCTTTGAGTATTTACTTATTGGAGGATATTTGTTCTAATAACAACACTTCATCCTTATTTTTTTCTTAACTGAAAGGTGGATTTATTTCATTCTTTGTTTCTTTTGCATTTTAACATTAAGATTATTTAAATACAAAAGTTTCCTTCATGATTTCTTTAGGAGGACACTTCTAGACTTTTCCAAGATTGGGGGGCTGCGGACCCCCCCTGGCCCTTCTAGATTTACGCCCATGGATACAAATAACACATGTGATTTTCATATTTAAATAAAGACTAAGTCTTAGTGTTATTTACAGTGTTGAAAAGCTTTTATTACCCTTATAAATGTTCCCATTTTGCCACATTACAACAACCTTCCTTGCATTTTACTACAAATCTTTGTGTGGTAGACCAATACAAAGTACCACTTAATTGTAAAGTAAAAGAAAAAGGAAACATTGCTATAAAAATATAGTGTGTATCCATCCTGTTTTAATGTTAAAAGTTATACATTTCTTTCCTTCAACCTCATAGTTATAAGCTTTGTGTTGGTTTGTTTTATAAAGATTCTGTAAAACACAGTGAACTTTGTGGCTAAATATGAACAAGCCCTTTTTTGCAAAGCACTGTACTTTACAATATGCTTATGCTATGTAACCTAGCTGCGGTGGGAAACAAACAACAACAAATTATAAATTGGCAATAAAAATAATTGTGTTTGATTGTGTTTGTATGTGGAATTTTATTAAATCATACTATTTTACATTTGGATCAAATAAATCAAGAGTCTGTGCTTTATCAACAGAAATATAGCTATTAAAATACAGTTACCCAGAATGTGTTTATGTACAGAAAGGATAGAAAGACCAATGACAAATGTGTTTCCACTTACAGTGATTTTTTTATCACCTAAAATTTGTTTGTGTTGCAGATGGACTTTGAAATGAATAGCATAATGGTGCAATAAACAGTAAATCCCTGCTCTGCATCAGCCCATCTGCTTACCCAGAAACCACTTCACATGCAGCCTACGTACAATTCAGCTGTGACGACGAGAACTTTGGCAAGCTTTTCAGAGTTTGTGGTCAGCGCAGGGTGTGTGTAATGTGTTTACAAGGGCGAGTGTGTGTGTTGCTAATCACAAACTCTGTCACAAACCTGGTCTTGGAGCCAGTCGCCAGCCACAGCTCTGTGGTTCTAATTAATGGACTGGGGCATTGTGTTTATAGCTAGCCTTACTCGTTAGTTCGTGTGTGTTTTGTTCGCGTCTGTCTGTGATGTTATGTTTTTGATTTCTCTTGTTCTTATATAGGGTCCAAAGTAAGGCACCTCACTGAGGCATGTTATATTAACACACACTGCCCTCTTTTACTAACCCCTCAATTATCCAGAGATATATAATACAGTGGGTAAAACACCCAGGACTTCTATGTCAAGTGGTCTCCATTACTACCCAGACTCCATTGCTGCAACATGCCAGGTCCAGTTAAGATATATTTGTCCAATTATCAAGATTCAAAGCTGTCGATCATGCAATGGTGCCTCATGGTTAGTTTCATTGCCAAGATTTAGACCTAAAAAAAAAACACCTTAGTAATTACCCCAGCCTACAAATAAACACACACCTTAACACAGTCTTGATACACACTTGGCATACTTAGGCACCTGTTTACAGTCCTGTAGCTGATTATGATTACAGAACAGATGTTGCATTTCATCAGTAGACAGTGTGAAGTTGTTTGGTTTTATCTGCCGCACTGTCCAGGTCTTTTACAATGAAACACTGTCTTATCCTGCTGTTCTACTTGGCTCTGATCACCTCATATGGCTGCTGCTATTTATGGTTTATTATTTATGATTGGCACTTGTTAGATTCTCATTGGCCTTGATATGAAGAGTTTACTGCTGTTCCCCTAGCGAGATGATTGTTCTCACCAGTACAATGATCATAGTGAGAACACTCGATGAATAATAGATGCAAAATATAGCATCTATGTTCTCACCTTAGATTGATGCTTTGATGCAGCTCGTCACCTGAAGAAATTTTCTGACAATATTAACTTTTTATTACCACTGTAGGAGCGAGTGATTGAGAACCTCCGAGACCAAAAGGAACGAGAAGACAGGGCGAGGCTCGAAGAGATGGATCAGATGAGGAGAGAGAACCAGGAACTGAAGGAAAAACTGGCTGTTCTGCAAACCCCAAAGCTGTCTCAGAGCCAGGTCACTAACTCCATCTTAATCCAGAACCAGAGGCCTGATGGGGAGGTCAGTGCACAGTGACTCTAATGCGCTGTTTTCTGAAACTATGTTGTCGTAGATAAGATCTGATTGTAATAAAAAAAAACTAATTTATTTCTGTGATTCAATCTAAAGAGAAGACTAATCTATAATTTCAGCATACACAAACCACAGTGGTTCTTTTTACGTGCGGGTTAGAAAGCGCCATACTGCCATGATTGTAATAGAGCGCCCAAATGTAGGAAGTGTGACATCACGAGGGAACTATCTATTGAGCTCATGCTCTTCACTGTACATGAACATCCTTTTCAGTAGGCTGAAATTTTTGTCATGAAAATTTTAGTTAACCCTCGCACGGTCAAGATGGGGTCATTCAGACTCCACAATTTTTTTTTGTGGTCTGGCGGGGTCACACTGACCCCATCTAAGCTTTTACAAGGTTTTTTTCTTATGTGGTTTAGGAAATTGACGGTCCGATGGAACAAAACATTTGCTTCTCCGCAGTCTGAGCGTAAATTTTTCTGCGCTCCTCCTGAGTGTTGATATTCTATAAGTAGGAAAAAACAGATACTGGGTTTTGACTACAAAGCATTATCAAAATCAACTAAATCAACCTTTTTTAATTGCATTAATGAAGTAAATTAACTTTTTGAAATGACTTTATGTTAATGACGTGGACCTCTTAATGTATGTATGTTAACCACGGCTGGTTAATGTTACTTGCTTTATCCCTTATTCTGTGTGGTCTACAGACACACAGCTCAGTATTTACACAGCTTAGATCTACAGTATTACTAATTGGATCGTCTTACCTCCCTGTGAGCATCCACAAGGCTGTTGGTAGTTCTCAAGAAGAAAAGCCCGCTAGTACTATGTCTCCTCAAATGAAAGAATGAATTAAGAGTCTGATTTATAGACATGAAGAATCCCTGTTTCCCTGTTTTAAAGCCATGTTTTTTTTTTCTTCTTTTTTCTCCCTTCTAAGCTTACAAGCCGGGACAGAGTCTGGTTCTGGCAGAATTTACAAGAATGTTTTTTTCCTCTTTTTTTTATGCCCATAAAAATGGTACACACATCTTGTTGTTGTGAAATGATACCTTGCTGGATGTTGATGAGGCACCACATGAAAGTGGCAGCCGCTCAGCTACTCTATACCGCACAGATACACATTCTGACAGAAGTTCTGCCATAATTTGACTATTATGTATGCTCTGCAGCAATCAGACCTGTTATGTAAACTTGCAGAGCTTCAAAAAAGCAAATGATGTCTGCATTTTTTTTTTAATGTTTGTGTCGCAAGGGATTTTTTTTCTCTGCTTGTGCATACATGTCGGCACAAAAATCAGCTGTCTGTGTGTGTATGCAGGTATTTGTTTATCTTTTCAAGTGTTTTGATCTTGTTGCTCTGCAGTGACCTGGGAGAAGCTCTGCTACTCTATTGATCACAAAACAACTGGCTTTCAGTACAAATTTTGGCCTTCCCATTCATAATGCCAGGCAAGATAGAGTCAGATGTTGCTAAATTACTAATTTAAAGCCATAATAAATGCCACCCATTGCACATAGCCATGGGAATCTCTCAGTATAGTTGTGAACATACAACGTTAATTCAGCGTAAACAGGATGTTTAGAAATAGATTAAATACAGAGTAGAAAATTCAACATCCTGTCCAACATCTGGTACATGCAGTTGTGACACTTATTGAATAAATCAAGAGATCAAACAAAATGCAACACTTCCTGATACACTTTGATTTTCCTTTGGTGTTAATCTGAGCTCTCCACATGCACCATTTGAATTGGTATGTCATCCAACTGTGCTGTTCATAGTGTGCATTGATTAGAATAGAATAGAATAGAATAGAATAGAATAGAATAAATTGGGATTTTCCCTGTTGGTGCTGACGAAAATACCATCCTGATTTGTTGCAGCCAGTCTTGCTGCTTCTTGACAGAAGTGAAAAACAGAAGAAAAGTCTGCATGTTTGTTTATAATTCAAGTTAAGCAATGTGTATATTTTCCTTCAAGATCTGATTATGTATATGTATGGGATTCCATGATTATTATACTCTCAGATCATGTTTGATGTCAGGAAAAGAGTGCAGTTTCCAGATATTTTTCTTTGTCTTTTTACCTTTATGAAACACCATACAATTTTTATCTTCTATGTGATTTAACTTCTCTGTGTGGGAGTTGTTTTTTATGATACAAGATGCTTATTGTTGGTTAGAAAAACTTATGCTTATAATAAATGTGAGAAAAAGAACACATAACCTTTTTTCTCACCCTCTTACTTTTAATTAGATTAAACCTATCCAGTGTTGGATCGGTAAAGCTTCCCAAAATGTTTTGTAGTTGCTTTATACCAAAAACAAGAAGTAATATCCTTTTCAGAGAACATTTTATCTCTTACTATGTGTTTTATTAATTTAGGAAATCCCAGATAATAATGGCTCAAATACGCAAATGCTGCCTTATTTGACATAAAGCAGCTGTTGTAGGTATAGACAATGAAGTAATGCATGGCTGAAGGTACCTTATTTGTTAAGATACAAAACATTGAATAATTACTTAAGCATAAGTAGCACAGGGATTTCATGACAATCTGCGCTGCAGAAACTATAATTGACATCAAGTCATAATGACAATCATTATGACCTAATAAACACCCAATGGTGTTGGAAACACCATCCTAACGGAAATACCTGGATGACAGCATTAAGTTCTGGGTTTTTTGGAGCATGAGACATTGGTGCGCTTCACAAAATAGATGGTGTATGAGACAAAAGACATCATGAGGAAACATTGAAGCAAAACCAGAAGATGAAGAACTATTGGTCTTCAAAATGGACAATGACACACAACATGCCAAACTGGCTACAAAGCTGCTCGGGTAACAACAAAATCAGGATTTTGTTAGGACACCACAAAGCTCTGATCTTAAATTGGGGGCAGAGCTTGAAATGATATGTTTGAACAAAATGGACTACAAATAATAATGAACCAAACCACATTAACTAGTTAAATTGAGACTTGCCAGTGGAGAAGCGCCCTTTATGGCTCACACTCACAGTACCTGCAGATGTTTTTACTATGCACTCAGATGAGCTGTTTACTGTGCTTTTAATCTGTACCTCAGAGCTTTGTTGACTGATACATCCTCTTCCTCTTTCCATAAAACAGTATTTGTGGAGTTTACCAAAGGATGTCCGGAACTAAACATGAGCCTTTTGAATTGAGAAAAAAAAAAAAAAACTCAAAAAAGGAATTGACCATTTTAGGGACAGTTAGCATAAACTGCCCCCAAACTCTTCTCCTAAATAGTTTACTGCTCCTCAACATTGAGGTTGTGTTAATTTTTTCTTCATTTTCAGATACTTTTTATTCATATTTTAAAGAAAAACATTCATATCTGGGATGTGGGACCCTGTTTGGCAATTAAACATAGGCAAAATATTTTTTAGAATAAAAAAAAAATTAAGAACACTTTTTTCACAGTTTGCAAACTTTTGAGCACAAATTACGTTCTTGAGGTCATGCCAAAGTATCTCAGTGGAATGCAGGTCAAGATTTTCGCTAAGCCACTGCAAGGTCTATTTTTTTCTTCAACTGTTCAGAGATGGACGTGCTGGAGTATTTTGGATAATTCTTTTACTGCAGAACCCAGGTTGGCTTTAGTTTGAGGTTATGAACAGATGGCCGGACATATTCAGGATATTTGGTAGGCAGTAGGATTCAAGGTTCTATTTTTCACATCCTGCATTTTAGGTACTGATGTAGCAAAACTGACCCAGGCAATTATACTACCTCCACCATATTCTACCATCAGTACGATGCTCATTTTCTGAAATACAGTTATTGTTACCAAGACCAAAATACAGGTCGTTGCACTTTGGTCTTTATACTCGATATATATACTTCAACAATGTAGATTCTGAATTTTGTTATCCAAACAATATTGCAGCTGAGGTACTTTCTCATTAAATTATTCTTTTCTATTGTCCTGCCTTTGAGAAGAGGCAGCTGTGGCATTAATATAAGAATGATGAATTTCTAGCAATAATAAATGTTTTGTGCCAATTTGAGCAACATCTATTTAGCAGTAGCCTGCTAAGAACCAGTTGTACTTCTTGGCTATTGAGAAATGATTGCTTCCTGGAGGCGTGGACTCTGTCAATGTTTTAAATTGTACCCAATTGCTAACGTTTGCCTGTGACATATGTAATGTGCAAGTTCAATGCTATGAAACTTACCAGAAATTGGCTGAGCTGTAAACAACCTTCCTCTACCCAATGAGAAAAGTGCCGAGCTAAACGAGGAGGCTGTTAACCTTACTTCAAAATTTGGAAGGGTGGCCAACATGGACTGAATTGCTTTACTCACTTCCTCTACTGCTATTGCTAAAACAGATGATGTTGCAGAAAATTGGGTTGATTGTCCTGGTACAAAATCTCCTTGAGACAATATAACTAAAGGGGAGAAAACCCAGACCATTCTGTAAGCGAGATTTTAGGGTAAGACTGGAATTGCACCAGAAAGCAATGGCCAGGCTAATTCACCACTTGCTGAGCTGCCAGTTAGTAAATGGCTTGTTTTTAGTAATTGAAAGCTCCAGTTTATTAATGAACAAAAACAAAATAGAAATGTACTTTTGTTTGGCATGAACACAACTGTTGATGCCTAGCATTAATTTTGTGTCATCAAAAAGAAGCGTATTAGACTTTTTCAAAAGGTAGTTCAGCAAGTTAAAGTTATTGTGATTTAAGTTAAAGTTAATTTATTTATTTAAAAGATTATTTTTAAATATGTTTCTCAGGACTGCTGGAGCTGAAATGATTTCTACTTAATTATGTCCTCTGAAGTTAGTGAAATGTGACTTTGAGTGTAGAAGTGTTTGTGCACATTAACTTGATTTTGTTTAAATTAGTGGCCTCAGCTGTCTCAACAAGTTAAAAAATTTTCACAAACAGTTGACAGAGAGCGGTAGAGTTTTAGAGGAAAAGGGAAAAGTTGAGAAGAGGATAATTCTAGGTTAGAAAGTGCCCCTGGGATATTTTTCTCGGAGAAGAATCGATTTAGTGTGGTTGAAGCAAAAGAAGGATCCAAACCAAAGACAAAAATCAATAACACTGTGATGTGTGGTGTTCTTGTAAAATCACAGTCAAAACATCATGGGGAGTCAGTAATTTTGGAATGATAATGACTGAACTCCCAACGCTGCATGAAAAATTGCCCCGAGGAGGCAAATGATTGAAGGAAACCACAGGAAAGAAGGCATTAGAGGGGGGTGTTCAAACACGAGGGTACCGACGGCTTCTGACAAAGACGAGTTTACATTCTCACAGTCTTTACTGTATTCCTACCGCAGCTGACAACACTTAATATTCTGCTCAGTTAGTGGAAAATTGACAAGAATGCTTGCTGGTTCCTTAGAAAGTTTTATTTTTAATATGCAGTATTTGTTCATTAACCTTCAGGTTGAACCCAAAGTAGATGGTTTTTCAGCAGCCAACCCCACGGTATGTTCTTTATTTTGTAACTGTTGTGTTTGGTCACCTGTATTCATTAACATCTCACATATATTTCATGACGTGATCTTATAGTTTTTCTAAAAGCAACATAGTAGTAGGATTACTAAACAGCCTATCTGTGATTTTAAGCATTTTTCAAGATAAAAAGTAGTTTTTTGATAATTAAAGAAATAATATAGACTAATAAAGAATTCTGGTGTTCTCAATTTGTTTTCATTTTTGCATCCATTTCTCTATCCATGTGTTCATCCTGGTTATTGTGCTGGTTGTCTGAATCAGAAACTTAATATGCAAGTGTAGCTTACTGTTGTGTAACATTGGGGATGCACATTGCTTGTCCAGCTAACAGTTGGAATTAAACGCGTATCTTGAAAATAATAGTTTTCATTAGTGTTTGTCTGAGCATAAAATATAGGAGCCAGAGAAAGTGCTTAAACACCGTTAAGCATTTTTGTATTCTGTCACATTATAACCCCAAACTTTAATGTATATTGCTCTGAAATTATGTGACAGACCAACACAACTGTATTTATTCCCCTTTAATCTGATGCTCCAAGATGAAATCTTTTGGACCTATATGATGCACAATTCCTTTATTAGTAAATACAACCCACTAATGTGCAAGTTTATGACGTCAGAGGCTTGTATTGTATTTTGCAGCTCCAGTTTCCAATTAAAAATGGAAATGTAATGGGAATTTCTTCTTTTAATTGTCCCGTTTGCTTCAAAGTAAATGACAATGTAAACAGGGAATTTTACTCACCTGCATTGTACATTACATTATCAAGACCTCTGTCAATCAAATGTACTCGAGCTGTACTTTCAGGATAAAATGTTTAGCCAAATATTTTTACAATATGTCTTTGTCTTTTTATCTGTTCACATCACTCACCCCACACTTACTCACACACGTGCAAACCTAAAGACCCCAAAACCAGAGGAAACTGTCAGAATCTGTCCAGACATCGCAGATCGTCTCAGGCTTCTCGAGCAGGAAGTGGCCCGCTACAGAGAGGAGTCTGGGAGGTCCCAGGCTGAGGTGGAGAGGTTAAAGGGAGCGCTTAAGGACGCCGAAGTGGACAAATCGTGCAAGGAGAAGAAAATTACTGATCTTGAGAGGTGAGGGTCAAAAGGTCACTGGCATTCACGTCTGTCCCAGTACATGCACCATCTGGGTGTCATCAAAGAGTAGCCCCCTTCTTACTGACCAGATCTTTTTACGATCCCAGATCATTATAAAGTGTTCTATTTATAAAGGACTAATGCATCTGATATAAACCGTTCAGGTTGTATATTCCTTCCACTTGAAACCACTTTCAAATACTGCTCCTCCTTCTCTTACATAATCATTGTTTGGAAATACATGCTTGACCTATTTACGTTTATCAGTTTAATAATTTGCTTTTATATCTTATTGTTTGTTTCTGTATACATCTGAAGACCTGGGTAAGTAGATTCATAGGTTGCCTGGCTGACACACTTTCATACAGTCTGCATGTTCATGTGTGCTCTTGGAATCCTCTCATGCGTGTTGATATTATTCATCAAGTTTCTCAAGAAGTGTAAATGTTGTTGTCCCATTGGTAGGCATACAATCCATTCATGGGAAACAGACTCAGGCCTCATTCCAGCAACACCATCAGAACCTTTATGTTTTCTGATTTATAGCACTGATATGGTTTTACTTTCTGTTGACTTTTGAAAAAAAATTCTTCACATTTCATTGCTATCAGAACTTTGTTCGTGTGTTTTCTCATACTAACACAAAGCATTTGTGTGTTTTCACCCCAGTGTCTGTGAATTCAACCGATTAAAAGTTCTGTTTCCATCTTTGCATTCTTGTAAACATATTTAGGGGGAGTGTGTTTGTTTCTTGAGGTGTGTGTTTTGTGAGTTTACCAAGCAGCACACCGCTAGCGGCATGCCAGTGGGAGGTGGTGTATCCAACCCAGACACTGGCTGTTTATACTGCTCTGTTTATTACTGGCAGAGTGCTACTCAATTATCATTTGATTTATGGATTGGCATGGTGTGTATATGTACCTGAATGAATAGCTGTTTAGTGCCTGTGCAAAACCACTGTGTGTGTGCTTTGTGTGCACATTCATGTGTGTCTACACACAAGCAGGTTGAATTCAAAAGTTTTCATACCCCTTCAACTTTCTTGCACTTTTGCTCACATTACGGAAACACAAGGTAATGCAAAACTGTAAAATAGATTAAAAATTAAGCATGGTTTCAAACGCAACTCTGAAAATTGTGGAAAGAATTTGAATTCAAGACCCGTGATTAAGTGTTTTGTTGAACCACCAGGAAGATGTGCAGAGCAGATCTCTGCCAGATTTGTCAGATGTAGAGATGGAAATGTTTACTCTGTCTTCTTCACAAAACAGTCCAATTAGGTCATCCATGACCAGTGATTTTTGAATCTTGACAAACATTTTCAGTTAATATTAAGTTTGTACAAGTTCATTGTAAAAATCAAAATTATTCTCTACTTCAATTATTAAACTCTGTGGCATCGATGTGAAAAATATTGAAACATGCAAATGGTATTACTGCTATATTAATATTGACCAGAAAGATTGTGTGAAAATAAGCTCAAAAAATGTCATGCATCATTTAGAGTTAGTTGACTGAAAATTACAGAAACATTTCAACATCTGTGGCTGGTTACCTCTCTCTTATTAGCACTTACTGGCCCCACAGGTGAAGTCTCAATGACTACATTTGAGAAAGGTGAGAAGTCACCCTGGATGGGTGGGACATACTTAATCCGTCCTGATTTCCTGCCTCATTCATCGGCCATTATTCACATTCCCTGTTTTGGGACAGTGTTCGAATGGATTTGCATCAAATAACATAAGAATACAGTAGCTCCCTCACATCTACTGCATCGAGCCTCTATTATGTTTTTGTGTGTGTGCGTTCATTATGCCTCGTCCACAGACGTGTGTGTTGTTTGCATGCAATTGCTGCAAGCAACATATGTTGATTCTCTCTGTATCTGAAGCCAGCCAGGAGTCATAGGAATAGTTGGAAGGGTTTCTTTTCCCCTCAGCTCATCTGTCTTTTCAGGGCTGTTGTCTCATTAGTGTCAACTAGGCTCTCCTATCAGCTCAACCCTTCCCCTCTGTTTGGCACACACAGGCCAAAGGTTAAAGGAAAACCTTCCACAGGTTATCAATAGAGGATCCAGTATAATCATACAACACAGCTGCACATATCAATAAAAATTTACTTCCAACATTGCAATAACAGGCATCAGTTCTCTTGGCTACAGCATACCTTTTTCCTTTTCCGTTTAGATAAAAATATTAAATATTTGCACACGAGTAGCCGTGCACATGTGTTATGTGACAGCATGGATGGAGTGTGTGTGTGTGCTGAATGGACATCTGTGTCAGAGCATACGATATGTAGCGTGTCTGAGCAAAGGATGAATGTCTTCTTAATCGCTTTGTTTCTGTTGGATCTAAGTTAGCTGACTTATTAACCACCATCTGAGCAGAAGGAGAGGATAACAGATGAGCACAAAGACACTTTCTCATCCATTTGAAAACAAAGCAGAGAGGGGCAGGTCATTGTAATAAATAAACTTTAACAAAGGCAAGACTATTCTACAGCTGTCTCAAAGCATACACATATCAGTGATTTAATGGAAGTCATTTTATTTATGTGTAATCTAATTTATTAGAAAAGAATGAGTGTATTTAACAGGGTGGCATATTAGAAGGTCACTTAATCACAGCTCCAGTAAACTGAGGCATATCAGGTTTTAATTATTCTCAAACAATGGTGATTTCTAAAGGCACGAATGCATCAAACCATCAGCAGTTTTCTGTGATTTCAGATGAATGCCTTGCAAAAGCAGTCAAAATTACATCAGCAGACTTCAATGGATGTAAATGATAGACCAACACAAAATAGTGCATACTTGTATGCACTATTTTGTGCATACAGGTGATGGGAATTCCTAAAATAGTGCATACGTGTATGCACTATTTTGTAAAATAGTAAAAGAAGATAGCTGTTGTTGAAGGAAACCAAAGGAAGCCTCGTGGCATGCAAACAAGGCTTCCTTTGGAAGTGGACATGGGGAACATGAAACACAGGGTTGCTTGGATAGATGACTCAAATTAGTCTCCAGACATGGAAAAAAAACCCTTTAGAGACTGTTAGACTGGATCAAAGGTTCACCTTTCATTTGGGTCACAGCCATAAACATCGAGGCTCTGCTAAAGTAGTTTGGATTAGATCAAGGCTTATTCATGTTAGACAGTCCATTCCTAAAATTAATTGAGAATATGTGGCTAGATGTAAAAGTTGCTGTTCACATATGTTCCCTGTTCAAGTTTGAGTTTGAGCTATTTGAGCAAAGAAGAACAGACAACAGCTTCTCTTTATGCACTGTATGGAAACATTCTCCAAAAGACTTCCAGTTGTAACAACACAGCTTGCTATTAGGGTTTTGTTGTTTGTGAAAAAGAGAAGTTAAAAAAATCAATGTACACTTTATGTTCTACTGCACAATTGTTCATTTCTCTCTGTTGATCTGTCACATAAATCCCAATAAATAGTCTAAAGTTTGTGGCTATGGAATGAAAAAATAAGAAATAGTTCAAGGGATATAAATAATTTTACATGGCACTGCACATGTATCATCACTGGTATATACATATTTTACCTGCGGGATTTTTTGAATAGTTTTTTACATAAACCTTTTACAGTTCTACACAATTAATTAAAATAAACCCCCTCTGTGTGGTGATGGGAATCAACTTTTCAAATAAATCAACTTTTCAGTCCCACCCTGCCACAGAAACATATAGGGTAAGCACTCTGGTATGTGAGGGAGGGCTCAAGAAAAAGGGAGGTGTGTGTGTAGGTGTGCTTGTGGGAATATCAGTTGAAATGTGTGCATAGCTGTGCCAATGGTCAGCTTGTGAGTTGTATGCATTGTAGGGGAATTTACAAAGGGTCCCACATGAGGAAGAAATTAGTAGTTGGTGGCTTACAAATTCTGACAACAATTTTCATTCACACAAACACACAAATACAACTTTTGGCCTCTTTCCTGTGATTATAATCAAACACCAGATGCAGTAATGCCTGACTGAATGCCAAAACACACACAACCTTGAAAGTTTCTCTTTATAATATTTGTTCATGAAAATATTTGTAAACAGTGTTTCTGCTGCAGGTGTTGGTGCAGATTAAGAATCCATTTTAGGATTAGCATTGACTTGCAGATTTTCTGCTTTGCTTCAGAACTATAAACATGTTGCACCTGCAACAGAAATGGTGTGTTTTAACAAAATGGTGCTCAATCTATCTCACCACATTACACTTTATTGTATTTAAACATATAGAGACTTTTTCTCTATATGTTGTTCATGCAAAAATAGAAAGTCTTAACCTTTCAGGACAGCATAAAAGCCAGTATCCTAGATCAAACTGCACATTCCCACAGTTAACTTGACCTAACAACTTTATTTATCCTGCAGATTTTCACTCTTTTCCATGAACTTCAGATAACTGCCAGCACCATAATAAACTTTCATGGTGCTCTTTATTAAGGCGATGTAGAAGAGACAAAATTTCATTTGGTGGAAAATACAATTTGAAATATTTTCTAATAGAATGGTCTCTTTAAACCTTCATTTAAAATGGAAAAGCTATGTAAAAGTTTATTCTCCTTTGAGCTAAATCGAGCACAATTTCCTGCTGTTGGCAACTCCTCAGCCCCAGTGATACCACTGTTTCCTGTTCCAGGGCACATTAACTGTTGTCCTCTGGGTGGACATGAATGCACAAAAAGGCAGTTTCACTTGTAAAGTGACTTTAAAACATCAAACTTCAATGATTTAAATTATGTGTTTTCCAGGCACATAGTGCTAGTTTAAAGCATAAACAAGACACTATGTTACCTTAAGATGTTATAAAACTGTGGTACATATAATTATATTAAACATTAAATACATTTGACTTTGCAGTGTGACACATTGAAATTGGTCTCTGTCTCTTTAAGAAGCTCCTGTCCTCTTCGTCATGTCACCTTTAGCATGTTATCACAATGCCTTTGCATCTGTCAGTTACAACCGTTATTAAAAGCGTTGGACTGAGGAGTAGTTCATTTGATAAGCTCAGCAGAATTGACCATAGGAACAATTGTATTTTCACATGTGGCATAGCTGATTTGTACATCTCTTTCTCTTAAAAAAGCATTTTGTCTCCTTCCTGAAGAGTTCCTGATGGCTTAACATCTACTTGGTGTTTCTACTTGCACAAAATTATTTGAACAGACAAATGATGAACCAGGATCTCGTATTTTGACTACTATCTTCAGAATATCTTTCCTGATTTTCCCTGAATTTTCTTTGATTTCACAAATGGAAGCAGAGTGTTTGAGGTGTCAAGCTAAATGATTTACTTTGGCAGCCCGAAAATGAAACTGCTTGTGTTGGAAAGTGTATATGTGCAGCTTTCCAGATGAATAAAGGAAAGGGCAGTGTAAAAAATTATTTATTACGCTGAGGTCAGGGAAGGAGGTGCTTGCTGCTCTTGCTCTTTCTTCATTTTTCTCTGCAATGACACATGAAAAATGTGCTTTATTTCAGTAATAAACTGAATCCTCCCTCATCCTCTTGTACGCTGCCCAGCCTGTATGACTGACTCTAAGTGCCCTCATTTGCCTTCACCTAGGGCAAAACACTTATATTCATGTTGTACAGAAATATAGGGGCATATCAGCTATCAAACGGGACCAACATGGCCATTAGTTTGTACACCTGTGCTCGTAGAGGTTGTTTGTGAAAGCTGATATGCCCTCTTCTCAACTTTGCTCTTCATGGATATGCCTCTAAGCTTATAAAAACACTCATAGAGATCTAAATCTGAGCAGCTCTCTCTTGATGTGCATGTGTGCTCAAGAAAATTGAGAATGTCTTTTTGTAATCAATTTGAACAGGAATACAAGCTCACCAAATTTAAATCAGCGCTGTTAATAAAGTAACTCTTAATTCCACTAAAGACACTAACCACAAACATGAAAAGAGGTGAATTCATGTGTGGCTTTCTACTGTGGGATTTAAACATTATCAGAAATGCTGAGCTGTTTCTTACACCATTTTCAATAAAATGCTGTTGTATGTGGCAAGGTTGAGTGAGGTAATGAAAACAGCATCTTATTTGCCAGACTTCACGCTAATTGTACAGCAACATCAGTCATGCAGACTGACACACAACAGCACATACCCACATCATTCCTGAAGCTGTGACAGCAAATATTTGCCCACATGTGGGAGCTTCTTGTAGCTTTTGCCCAGAGTAAACACAGCAGTGTGGATGTAGAATAATAATGTGGTACATTTTAACAGCTGCTTGGTCACAGCATGTTTGTATGGCTTGAGGGAGCTCTTAAGCACTAATTTGTCACAGTCAGCGTGATAGAAAAAAAAAACATAATTAATTGGTCATATAGATGCATCTAAATAAAATAAGTGTTCATGTTTCAATAAGTCAAACCTATGATATAAATTAATTACAGTAAGACTGATGTTTTCAAACCTTATGATTTTTTTCAGCTTACAGCTAATGAAACACAATATTGAAGATCAGAATATTAAAAAAATGTTTTTTCAATTAATTGCTGTAATTTATGTACTTGCCTCCTGTTTGATTTTTTGAATCGGGACTGTATAAGTTTTGTTCCTTTTGCGTATAAATAATAAAAAAATATCTAATAAATATATATTTTTTAAAACTTCTAACAGAAATGTGGGATTAATAAACAACATTATAAACTGTATCCTTGCAGGACCTTAGGTGGAATGGTGAATATTTCCACCAGCGGCCTGGAAGTGACAAGTAAAACATGGCTGTGCAAAACATTTGATGACAAGCTCAACTATAAGACCTATTCTTATAACTCTGGAGGGATTTTGACTCTTTCCTCTATACAAAAACTCCACAAACTCTCTGGGAGAAGGAGAATAAATGGGCTCAATGACATGTGATTGATTAATTTTTTAGAGATTTTTTCTTTCAGCATTTTCGGTTGCTAAACAATCTTTATGAAATAAAACTTTTGCATTAAAAAGCTGATTCATAACAGTTTATTTTGATGAAAAAAGGCAAACTTACAAAAACACTACACCTTTATTTAATATCCCAGTGAAAGCAAGTCCATTTTAGCATCAGGTTATGTTAGAAACAAAGTTTGCTGCCACTGTTAGATTTTCAGGAATGTGTATTTGTCTCTGCACATACTTGGAACCTGGGTTATTTTTTTTTGTTTTGTTGTTGAAAGATTTACATCGAAGCATTATACCTTTATGAGTCAAGTCTTGTTCATGTCTGCCAAGCTATAATGACTCAACACACAGAGCCTTTGTCTGTGCCTGATTTATTGCCTACACTGTTGCTCAGCTGTTTAGTTGCATGACAATAACAGTGCAAACATCGCAATAAAAAAAATAAAATTACCGTTGAGCACATGAAGTAACATGCTTTTAACTCTGGTCACAATTTAGAGCAATAATGTTTAATATTTGTAACTATAAAAGAGTATTTTCATGTAGATTTGAAGTTATTTACATACTTATTGAACAAAAGGGTTAGGCCCTTTTTATTATTGTATAATAATTACCGTAATATAATTTATTGTCCAAATTATTTAAATTTTATTTTTGCAAGAATAAAAGGATACCTAGGATTATAAGGCCTTTTTAATAAAATGCCTAAATGGTTGTGTCTTGACTTTGTAAACTTCTTACACATTACACACTGTTTTCTATTCTATTGTGTCGCTAATGTTTAGAGGCCTGACAGTGTCACACTCATCTGTTAAAATTTTTGCTATATATGCAAGTGAAAATTATCCTTACAAAAGTCAGGTGGTGTATTTTAAGAAGGCCAGCCTGTTTACGTTGAGGTGAAATACAAATAAAGGGAATGCCCTATTAATTGCTGTTCATTGAAAGATTTTCAAAATAATACACCTAATGCACAATGTCCTGAAAAAAATCTAATCTCTCCATTCAGTGACTGTACCTATACCTTAACCTAACTGATGCTAAGGTCGTAAAGCTGTTACGGGACAAACCCAAGGCTAATGCAACAAGCTTAAACTTTGTAAGTGCATACTGTAAGAAATCCTTATGCTTGCTCAGAAAAATAAAGGTTTCAAGGAAACAAAACACGTCTTACTTTATTACATAATGACTACCACATAACAATTGTTCTAATTGGTTTTCTTCATCCACCTTTTCATCACTGGTTGTTTTTATTTTCTCTGCTCGAAGGCAAATCAAGTCTCCAAATATCCAGAAGCAGATTGTGCCTGGCGAGATGAGGAAAGATGCCTTGGCAGATGGACATCCACACTCTTTATCACAGGTTGGAATGGAGTTATGCATGTGTGCAAATGACTTCGTTTGTGGTCGTAACAACATCCTCTTCACATCATCATACCAGTACGTTACATGATTCATGACATGTCCAACAGCTGTTTCTTGCTTTTCTATGTCTCATCTCTTTCTAAGTCATTCACTTGGAAAGCCATTTGTTTTGGACAGTGGTTTGTCTAAGGAATTTTAGACCTTTTCATGCTTTATCTTTGGACACATCAGTCCGTAGCACAACAAATACACAATAAACTATATGATGGGAATAATAAAGAACAGAGTTTGTCAGGAGTTTGATGCACCATTTGTGATGTAAATGCTAGGTATTCAATTCTGTGTCAGGTGCATGCTTTTATTCTGGGCTGGGGAGATCAGCTGAGAGACCACTACAGAGTGCAGTCATGCCAATTCACTCCCAGAGGGCCAATGAAATAAGCCTCTATATCCCCTCAAGCAAGCACAGACCAGGACCCTGTCTTTAAGCAGAACTGTTCCATTCTTTTTATTTTTCCCTGTGTGCTGGCAGACCCCATCCAAAGCACTGTAAAGGCTGACAACTAGCCAGCTGTAGATGATTTTCATGGAGTTGTTGACCAAAGGAAATACTAATTTTAAAGCATATCCAGTTTCAGATTCCAGTCATTGACCAATTATGTCCCACCGTCTCTTTGGCAGCTGTTTTATATGCCTGTTCTCTGACAACAGATCCAAAGACATAACAATTTTGTTTTTTTGTTTTTTGTTCCAGTTTCTAAGACAACAATTAGCCTAAACTGTCAGCAAAACTGTAAGCGTAATAAATTCATTTATACCACAGAAAGAGGCATTCAGGAATGTACTACTTAATTTGTTTGTTGATGACAAGCTTTGAGGAATTTGAAAATCAGCTCATGAAACACAGCTATTTTTTTTAATAAGACAGCTTTTAAATCACTTTTTGAAGTGCGTATCTAAATGATCTAAAAAATGTGCCTTTTGTTGTTTAATTGCACACCACCAAACAGTTTATTTGATCAATTAGGCTTTCTTATCTGTTTTAATCCGCATTGCAGAAGGAAATCACCATTTAATCATTTCCCGCTTATCCTTCACAAATGGCTTTTTTTTTTTTTCTTTTCCAAGAAACTCCACCAGATAACAGAGTCACACAAAGAAAACCTGTTGCCCTCCACTCTCCCTCTAATCTCTTGTTCGTGAAATGGGGATATACAGTACAGTGGCGATTTCTGAAATGGGCGTTACATGGACACAGTTTCTGAAATGTTGTTCGTCCAGGGCGACAAACAGGCTAGGACCACCCCTGGGGGTATAGCTAATGTTCTTCAGACTCTTTTCACAAGTAAATCACATTTTTGTATCCTCATATTTTAGACAACAGCACATGCTACTGCAGCGCTATTAGAACAGTGTACAAGGAACTACACAACAGTGAAAAATAACACAGTATTTGAATGATTCATCCACTTATAACAGATTATAAATCTTGCTCATTTTAGAAAACTATGAGTTAAATTTAGAACGACTGTGTAAAATATAAGCAAAGTTAAGACCAGCGTCATCTTTACACTTTCAGGAGTGAAACAAAAATCACTCTTTGAAAAAGGAGTTGAATCTGGGACGTCACAAATTCACCCAGGTAATATCTATAAAATTGTAGGCTTCTGTCAAATTTTATCTGCTAATGTTGATGGTGACAGAATATAAATACATTAAAGTTGAGGACGTGGCAGCAAAGAGAACAATTGTTCTCTTGAATAAACATAATTGTTAGTTATAAAATAAAATTGTTGACAAGAATTGAACAGAGAAGAAAGTTACAAGGGGTTTGTGGAACGTAGAGGAATATTTTATGTGCCTTTTCTACAAATGGAGGGCCTAATAATTAGAGAGGCTGGCATTAATTTGCCACAATCTGTGATCTGGGAACTATTAGACATGCTCTGATCTAAATGGTTAGGAAAGCACAAATCACAGTAAAAGTCTGCAATATGTGTTGGATCCAGGGGATTTAAGCTTTAGACAGTTAGAAGCAAGAATTTCAAATTAGAGCAAAATATTACAGGAAACCAGTTTCACGAAGACAGGCACATTCTGTGATGTTTTCATAACTTTTAGTTCTATAAATTAGCATAGCAAAGAATAAATCCTTTGTGACAATGATGGTGCAGACTGATACTTGAATAAATCACTATCTAATTAAGATGGCAGTAATGCATTTATGGTCATAATGAAGGGGAAATTATTGAAGTCTTTCAAGTTTATCTAATAGCACATTTCAGCAACAAGTTAGTTCAAACATAATATAGTAACCAATTATGAAACAAGCAACAAAGCATTTTGTCAAATGCCAACAAAAGAATAATTATCATCAAATATTCGCCAAATATGTTAATCATTGTTTCAGTTATTATTGATCAAAGACGCCTCTAAATTGGTGAGGGTTTAGGAAGTCGGTGTTTTGGCTGTTTTGCCGTTTTTTGGAAGTTTGTTCCTGATTAGTAACACATAAAAACTGAATGTGGTTCTGGTTCTGAGGAAGTGATCAGAAACAGAAGACCTGGTCTGGATGGTTGATAAACAATAACAGGTCTTTAATGTATTTTGGTGCAAAGCCGTTTGCTGATTTACAAGCTAGCAGGATTATGTTAAACTCTATTCTCTGAGCCAGTGTACAGACTTTAGAGTCCTTTTTGGGGGTCGTGTTCTCTACTTTCCTAGTTTTAGTGAGAACATGAGCAGCAAGGTACTGGATCAGCTGCTTGGATGAGTTTCATGTGAGCTTGTTGAGCCATTCATTATTTTATTCTAGAGTTGTTCTAAAAGTCTGAGCTTGTAATTATATTCATGTATCTTTGAAGATTCAGGTCTGAGTCCCCCACTACAGATATAAGGACTAGTCACTAGTTTCTAACTGTAAAAGCTGAACCTGTGTGCTAGCTGTTGCTCATTCCACTTTTTTTTGTTTAATCTCAGAAAACTGAGATGTTATAGCAAGACTGATAAAGGTGAGACAATGCTGTGATTGCTGTTAGTAGTACTAAAGGTCATCCTGGAAGAACTAAGTTAAAGTCTGCTGTAAGTGGCTTATTGCTTTAACAAGTCTAAAAACTGTTAGACCCTGGTATCAACCATAAATGATATAAACTGTTTCATGATTTTTTTTCTGCCAGAACTTTGGACAAAGAGTAGCTGTGTTAGTTCTGAAAGATCGGAGGCCCAAATTAGTTGTTTTTATGCAACAGATTAATCATGGTGTGTTTGAAACTGCCAGGAAAAGAACCAGAATCTCATGAATTATTTATCTAAGATAAAAGGATCTGACTAACTTTGAATAATATTCACAATATTCATATTCACTGTGGATACTTTAAGGGAAACAGTATCCACAGTGCAGAAAGAGTTCATGTGGGAAACTGTATGTTAAACATAGCATCTTCCAGGCCACTATCCATAAAGATCCGTTCAGTGCAGTCTGTACGCTGCATGTTTTGCTTGATCCAGCACTAAAGTTGCATTATGGCCACCGCCTCTGTCTGTTTCCCCATGCGGTCTTTCTTCTTTGCCTTTATCTCTGGGTCCATCAGGAACATAGCACGCTCCAAGGGTAAACACACACAAATAAAGTCTCCCTGTTATTCCAGGACAGTTTATGTGGGACAAACTGATAACATCTCTCCGCTCCATTGTCTCCAGTGCACCATGCTGCACTTTGCAAACACAGAGAAAGCACACATCGGAAGTATTAATTTCAGTCATTTGCACAGCATTTGTTTTCCTTTTGTCTGCAGTGATGAGACAACAGCACCTGTCAGTAATCTGTTTAGAGATCTGTAGATTGTTGAAGTAAATAATAATAATAATAAAAAAAATCAAACAACTGTTATTTAATGGATTTTAAGCTTTTGTTTTATTTAGATTTTCTCTTCCTTTTACATTCATCTGCACTTGCACATATGATCGATTTTGCACACGCTGTGTGCTAATGAATGTGAGGCAAGGAATCCTAATTTCACAGCTGCTGGAAATATGTATTTTCTCACTCTTCATTAGTTTATAAAAGTGATTGCAATCTTTCCATCAAACCAAAAAGAGCCAGAATCATAATAATCCTTCTCCAGGGGCTTTAGGCGATGACATGTTCTCCACAAACTATGATTTTAATAATTCTTACAACTTTCTAAATTCTGTTATATATTCTTCAAAGCAGCATTCTCTTGTTACTAACAAAACTCTCATTAAACATGTCTGTACACTTTGACACATACATATAAAACATGCACTGTACATGTGCCAGCACACACATATGCAGACACAGCTTTCTGGTTAGGTTGCACTTGAGAGATCCAGTGGTGGCAGCCCGCTCTCAGTGGGGCGTGCATGCATGAGTGTGTGCAGGCCTCAGTGTGTTGTGTGGGGTCAGACTGGCCCTTGTTGATTTTGGTGCATCGAATTACTGCCCGTCCATCACAACCAATTACAGCTTTGAGCTGCTGACACACACAACACTTGTCTGTGTGTGTGCGTGTGCGGGTGTATGTTGCTTAATTCCAGCTGCGCTGTGCTGAAAAGAAGAGACCAAGTTCATTTTTTTGCTTTCACCAGCTTTAAGGTATATCGTTATCATCACTAACAGTTTGATGCGTCAGTTTTATTAACGAGCTAAAAGATATTTCAAGCTAATCTAAAGTATCCAAAGCATTCACACCCCACTTCTGTTTTCCTGGCAATGTCTCATGAAATGACTTTCTCTACATCTGGAGACTCCATTACAATTGAATCCTCATGTGTGACCTATGGTACTGTTTAAAGAAATGCTCTGCTTGCAACAAAACCAAAAACGTGTTTTCTCATAGCACTGCTATTTGAGCTACGTACATCACATTTGCATACTTAGGCTATTGTTGTGAACATGTCCATTAGGAAGGATACGCTCAGTTTACCAGACATGAAATTGTCATGTTTGATAAGATTTTTATTTTAGCACGTTTCCAA